AAGTCTTACAAGTGATTTTGAGAGTGAAAAAACTTGTTGTAAGAGTTTGCATGGCTATGATGTTTTAGCTATTTTAGTGAAGTTTTAAGATTTTTTTATTTTCATACTTGCATTCTTGAATTTCCTCTTTGTGGTATAAAATATAGCTTGACTTAATTTGGTATAGAATTCTAATCTTTTCTTGAGAATATGTTAGGTGTGCATTTGTATTTGCTTTAAATTACATACTTTATGATTGATTGGTAGCACTCAATGTGTTGTATGTAAAAATCTTTGTTTACATGATAAGGTGAATAGTGTATAATCTTTAAAATAGAATAATAAAAAATTAGATAATCTATTAATTTCTAAAATTAAAAATATAATAATTAGATTTATTATTAAATTATGAAAAAATCCTCATAAATTCTAAAAATAATAATATACATTTATATCACCAAAAGAAAGAAAGTAAAAATTAAAATTTAATTATAAAATTAAAACTACAGTGATTATTTTCAAATGCAAAAAAACTATGAAGACTTAAATCAAGATAGAATACAAGAAAGGTATTGATAAGAATGAAAGAGACTTTACTCTTGCTCTTACATATATTATTTATTGAAGAATTATGTGGCAATGTCTTATAGTTCATATGACACATTCTCAACTTGTATAACATATATCTAATCTATAAGATAAGTTTCTAATATATATGTTGCATATCCACATTGTAATACATGTGGCTAAATGTAAAATATGTAATAAACTTGCTAGCCGAGTTTTCAATCTACCAATTGTATGAAATATAATCCAATAATTATTATTTCTATAGATATAGTGTAGAATATATTATGTTTAAAATTTCTATTAAGGTTTATTTATATAAATAAATTAGATAATATTCAAATATATATATATATATATATATCACAAAAAAAAAATCAATGTATTTGGTGTATCTCAATTGTATCAAATATATAGTTATATATATATATATATACAACCACATTGGAATACTAAATTTTCAATGAAGTTTGGAGTCATAGAAGGACATATATTAGAAGAAGACCAATCTACTTTTAGATAATTCTTGTGTGGTTGGTTAGTTTTAAATTAAGCAGCTAACCTGAACCCATACTCTTAAACAGCTGACTGAAACAATGACTGTGTGTGTATATATATATACACAAACATACACATATATATGGATAGCAATATATGTAATTTCAGTTAAAATGCCCCTTATGTTGGCTCTGTACCACAAGTACATTGGGGTTCAACCAAAATAAAACTTTGTCCCAATCTGAATTGTAAACCGCATACCTGTCATTATATATATATATATATATATATATATAATAATCAATGGGCATAGATTGTGTTACTATGCTTTGGACTCCTACAACTTAAGATCAGGCCAAAAGATCGTGGAGCACCATTGCTGCAACATCTAGACTGAATTAGTACTAAGAGTCAAGCCACGAGGCACTAGGTTCAGAAGCCCTAATATCAGAAGGCATCATGTGTATTCAATGGATGTGCACTGAATGTCAAATCATCAAGTTTCTTTTATTAGTTACACTGAAATAGTTTTGGTGTTTTCCTTATATTTGGTAATTTGAGCACTTTTTACGTAATTTAAGAATGTATCTTTTATCAAGGGAGAATCATTTTTTTTTTCTCAAACAAAAATGTGAATTATTGTGCTTGAATCATCTTCAGTTAATGGGAGAGATTTTCATCTGATTCAATACTTTTTGTGGATTGTTAAATTTAGCTTATTTTGATCAATCCATGAGAATGACATGTGGAATTCTTTTTCACTCATACAGGGAGTTTGTTTCACACTTGGAAAGTGGTTTGAATTGTCAGAATTGATCTGGATGTCATCTTAATTAGGATTAAGATCTGGGTCAAATTGTTTGACTGTTGTGCTGAAAATAATTTTTGTTTTGTACTTTCCTAATTTTTTTGACACAAAATTTGTAATGAAATTTAAATTCTTATTCCAGTTTTCTATTATCATTACAATGATCATATATTCAACTGGGCTGGGATTCATATGCCTTAATACCTTAATATTTTTAGAACCTGTTACCTTGATTGTTAAATTAAATTTTCTTACTTTCAAATAAAAACCAAAGATTAAAATGATAATTTCAGTGTCTTCAAGTTGATTAGTTTAACAATCAAGCTCATCACTTTTTCTAACATTTTATTCTTTTATCTTTTAATATACTATATATATATATATATATATATATATAGTATATGTCTTGTGCTGCTGCTATTTCTGCCCCACTTTCCTTTGCTTTGTGTCTTCTTCCTTCCTTGATTCCTCCCTTCCTTCTGGCTGTTATACTACTACTTCACTGCCCATGTGGATTGGGTGCAAGGCATTGCTACAGTTGATAGCTGTGACTGAGCATGCTATACTATCCTTGCCTTGTGCTGCTGCCGTTTTGCACCCATGTAATAATATTGGTGGACATTGCTGCTGGTGGTGGCAATGTGAGTGAACCAAAGGAAACTTTGTCTTGGAATATGTTTTCTTGGAAGACGCAAATTTGTGAGACATTGTGTGGCTATGAACCAATGTTGTGTCCAGTGAAGCAAGGAGGGAATGAAAACATTCCCTCATTTCTTGCAGCAGATTCTTCATGGCTTTTCCAGCACACGAGAGTCCATAAAGAGAATTGACTTCTACATGACTTTGCTTGACTAACAAGTGCATTTCTATGCTTAGGACATGTTTGGCAACCCAATGTTTACTCCCAATATTGACCCAACAATAGAATAACTTGAAAATTATTTTTTCATGTTTTTTTTAAAACTTGTGATGTGTTTTTTCATAAGATATTATTTGTCTCATTCTCAACCACCACCCTTTTTTTATATCAAAGAATGGAAAACATGTTCAAAAGAAGAAGACATATTATTAACTAATTGTTTATGAGGAGGTCATATGAAGTGTAGTAATATCAATTTGGGGATGTTCCATTAACAATTCTCTATAATTACAATTATCCTGATTATTTATTATTATATCTGTCAATGTTAATAAAAATACTGGATCAAAGTTGAAAATAAGAAAAAACTTAGCATGAAAACAATTCCAATTAAAGTAACATGTGTGAGGGACATGAAAACCATCTACTGCAATTATGAACTTTACAACTTTGGAAGCATTATAGAAGAAATGTAATAGTTGAGGAAACAAAAGACAAGGAAATAATGAGAAGAGAGCTTCTCACAATCTTCTTTGAGGGGGAAGGCCATAAGAACTATCATGCAATTGTGGCACTCCAATTTCTCTTTTAAAGACCTCATATTGAAAATGAAATGTGAATGCAAGTTGGCATGTGTTCCATGGCTCCAATGGATGGCCCACATTGCTTTGTGCATCATGTACTTTTACTATTTTTCTTTCTTCATTTTTTACACGGTTTTTTAATAGTTCACATACCTATGATTATGTGAGATATTTCTATGCTAATATGATATGATCAATAAGGTGCAGTTTAATTTTTTATTTGTCTGTATACTGAGTAACTCTACCAATGAATAAAGTAGTGTAATTTCAAAAGACATGTTACTGTTTGATTGATTATTTGTTTTTTTTGTTGTTTTTGTTTATTGACAACTTGAAACACAAACATGATTTGAAGCAATTCTTGCAATACATAGATTTAATTTCACTACTTTATTGATAGAATTATTTAATTGATTTTGAGAGCAAAAACGGGAAGGCCCCCTCCCCTGGCAGTGTACCAAGCGAAGGGAAGGGAACATGAGCTCAACCTACATTTGCCTCCTTGGGATCCATTAGCCACAACACTAGCCATCCATCCATGCCCGGAGGTGCTCAAGCTTCCCATGAGTCATCAGCACGTCAGTCTCCACACACGCTTCGTCTCACCGAATTCCACTTCGCACACCCCCAGCACTCGGGACGAGGAACAAGTTCTGCGCTCATCCTGCTTTCCATTTCCTGGACCAGACGATGTTTTGAGAATAAACTATCAGCTATTATCAGGTCTATAAACCGATTTTCTCGACAAAGATGCTTGGTGAAATGTGCTATCTTAAAAGGACTCGACATCTAGTGGATTGGATTGTTCCACTTCATGCCATGACCTTCTTTTAGGAAAGGCCTCTTTGCAGCAATCGGAGACCTAGTTTGAGCATCAAGTATACTTGTATTTCTTGGATTAATCAGGAGTCATGCCCCGCACAGGCATTGGCAATTGAGCCTTACCCCACTCATACCGATACGGTACATTCCGTGCTAACATCCTCGAGGATTTCACATCCGATATATTTGCGGCAGCGCCACGTTTTCCTAAGAAGGTGGCTAGTCAGTGGGTCCAATTTCCATTCCATTTTAGAAGCTGTAAAACCCCATATCCCGTAATCTTGCTGCTGCTGCTGCTGCGTGTGTGTGCAAAAGTGCACACAGATAAAGCTACAGAAAAGAATAAGTTTAAAAAATGTTTACAGTGATGAAAATTTCAAACTCAACAATACAAACATTGATCTCTCCATGTCAATCGTAAACTAATTAGTAGATTAATGATATTTAGATTCTGAATCATAGAATCCCTGATACAAACACTTGAATTATATCGTTACATAGTCAATCAAGAAAAATGAAATTCAGTTTGTTTCATTTTTTACAAAATAAATTAAAATAATTTAATAATCAGTTAATATGTCAAAAAACTATCGCTGCAATGAATATATTGCTGTATACAAAATTGGGAAAAGTGAATACAACGTAGCACATTGTATTGCTTGAACGATATATGTATAAATACATATATATATATATATATATATATATATGTATATATACACACACACACAGCACTATAAAATATTCTAATTAAATTGAATTAATAATGCAATAAAATCAGGAAAGTAGTGAAAACAAACCCATTTTCAACCTTTGCTTTACATTATGTTTATCTTTCAAGTTGCCAGAACCAAAAATAAAATAAAATAAAATAATTACAACATAATTTTAATATTATATAACTTTATTCATATTTAGAACTATAACCAAACTTTTAGTAAATAAGCACATAAAATTATACAGAACCAACAATTATTGCCCACGTCATAGTAACATGGGCATATGTTAGGAAATTATATGATTCCTGAGTATCAGAAAAATTTCCACAAAACGGGGAAATAAATAAATAAAAAAGAAAAGAAACGATGAGCAATGCGTGAACTGTAAGAATGTGTTGTCCCATTGTGCATCGGCCAGCACTAAAAAAAGGCGACAAATTAGTGATGAGGGAGAAATGCCTTGTCTTTTCAAACAAGGGGGGGCAGTCTGAGACATTTGCGCTTCACCTCCTCCTCCTCCTCCTCCTCCTCATCTCTCTGTTTTGAGGAGATGGAAATTGGTGACTGATGTATCTATCTCCATCACTAACACAAATGATCCACTGAGCATCATCATAAAACGGCACTTACAATGAATAGTTAGCCAAGGTCTAACCAGGGACAACAATCTGAACAGGAAGGGAGGGAGGGGCAGGAGGAGGAGGAGGAGGGCCCCAGCAGTGAGTGAGTGAGTGAGTGTGTTTGTGGCCTTTGAGCAGCGTGATGCCATTGAGTGAGTGGCAACATGGGGAAGTGGGGAACCACGGCGTGGGAACCGCCCTTTGGTGGCACGGCAGCCATCAGTGCTTAGGGAGTCACAGTGCTTGCAGTACCGCGTTGCCACGGCAGCGGTGAGATTACGAGCCTTTTCTGCCCGGCAGTTTTAATGATTGCTTACACCCCTCTGATCACATCCTTCCATTTTACAGCACGCAATCCACGGCCTCGCAAGGGCCCTTGGAGCTGACTTACGCCTTCGTCGCACCCAAATCGTGTTTTTTGATCAACTCCAGAATGTGGCTTGCATCAAAATCGTCGCTAGGAGGATAACCTGAAACAGTGATGGTTTTGCCTTGCACTTCGCAGTCTGCCCAGCAACATTGTAACAATGTGACTATGAGCATGAAAGGTACTGGTTCCTCGGATCAACCTTAAAACACACAGGCGCAATCGCCTAGCGAAGAAACGTACCACAATCTGGAAGCGACTTCCCGAGCTGCTGTCGAATGGCTGGGATATGTGCCGAATCAGAGAGGACGACACTCACTGTCACCCTGCAGTTAGTTATCTCTATTTGGTTGAAATCCATTGTGTCCTGCTCGTCCACCATCGTGAAAATCTGCGAACAAGCATGGTGATCAGAAACCACAAGCCCAGGAGGAGAAGCGCTCACAGGGGTAGCTCGAGCGACCGAAGTGAGGCAAGACAAGTCATAGAACCCCAGCATCCCTCGGAAAAGACCACAATTCCAGAACAGAAGCAATCGCACTCGCATAACAACAATCAAAAGCTCAGTGTGAGCACCTCCATATGCCTACTTGCCATGACGTCGGGTACAACAGACCACCGACGTGAGGAAAGACAAGTCATAGAACCCCAGCATCCAACGGAAAAGACCACGACTCCAAAACAGAAGAAATTGCACTTGCATAACAACAATCAAAAGCTCAGTGTGAGCACCTCCTGATGACTACACGCCATGACGTCGGGAACAGTATCGTGTACATTCAAACGCAAGCTAGGAAATCAAACCCAATCGACTCGAAGTATCGATCTCGACTCAGTGGAGATCGCTGCTAACGAGCTACAACACTTCGCATGGATGGCAAAGAAGTGCGATGGTTCTGACAAGGAATCCAGGGTGGCAAAACTGTGCGAGGTAGTGACGACGGCGGTGGGTAGTTCTCCGATTTAGATCTGCAAGGGCGTGGTGGGGTCAGCAGCGCTGAGATAAATTAATCTGAGGCTTTTTCAGTTCAAGACAAAATATTTGTGTTGGGTTTTGTGCACTTGCTGAATGAGTCAGAACCCGGTTCCGATAACAATCGCATTCCGGGGAGTGGGCTCGTTCCGAACTATTGATCTCACCTGCGGAACGAGCGTTGTACTTCCTCGGCGTTGCTTGCTTGGGCAATACTCCATATATGTCCGTTTCAAATTTGAATTAATCTTATCATAATTAATCAATGAAATAATTTTAAAATATGTATATATGTATGTATATCTATATATATAATCAAATTTAAATTATTTTTTTAATGATATTTTTTATTGAAACACTTCAATTCATTATACTTTCAAGTGATTTAGGGTTCATATAACTTAAACCTTAACATGTTTAGAAATTATAATAATCAATTCTATTCTAATCAATCCTATAAATGTATCCAAAGTTATTCTATATATTATTTTTTCTATGTGATTTTCTTATTTTTTGATATTAAATTATTTTAAGTAGAAGCTTATTTATTCTAAGAATCTAATTACCAAACCATATTAATTGTGTACGGATTAAGATTCTTAGAAAAATAGTTTGGTTACATTTGTAACAAAATTTAGGAGTATCTTTCAATAACATTAATAGCAATAAAATAAGAAGATAATAAACCAATTGCATAAATAAAATGATAATATTAAGCATTTATACTTGGGTACAAAATATCATATACCATCAAAGTGTCAAGGACAAGAACTCGATGAAAAAATAATTCAGACAAGTGAGCCTTCATTCAAAGAGAGGTAACAAAATATATATAAACAAGTATATATATTGAAAGAGAAACTGGAATGGCTATTGCCAAAAGACAAGAAAACTAGAGACCCTTGAAACTAGACTAGAAGCAAGAAAGGAGTTGATAAGAGTGAAGAAGCCTTCACTCTTGTCTCTATATATACTATCTAACTAGGGGCTACGTGGCAACGTTCTATAGGACCTCCAATATGTGTTGACTTTGTACGACACATGCCTTGACTTACAAGGCAAGTTTTTCTATGTGTAGGCCACATAGTTAGCTTGATCTTCAAGCTAACAACATGTGTGGCACATGGCCAACTTGTTGACCACATTTCTAATCCAAAAAGTCAATTAAAGACACCTATGAAGTCAAAGCAGCATCTAAGAAGCTTCTAAGAAGCTTCCATATTAAATATTATAGAATTAACTTACTTTTATCTACTTTTACTTACTTTTATCTACTTTTACTTACTTCTACCTATTTCTATATGTAATTATTAGCTTACATGATTATGGCCGTCACATTATCCCCCCTTCTAGAGACGAGTTCCACGAGGAGCGGTCATCATATGTTGAGGAAATCTATGATGCGACGAATTGTATTCGCCACATACTCTAATCTCTGTTCTCTTCAAAGATGATTGATAGGGCCTCTCAACCATCGGTAGTGTCCCATACCAGGGCGGAAAGACCACCCAGTTATTTTATCATTGTTGAGGCCTTCGTAACTTCCTTCAAATAGTATATTTGGAACACCATCAGGAGTTGTTCCTACCTCTAGCACAATCACCAAACATCGGGAGTCCCTTCTCAAATCGTGATACCAAACGCATTGTATCTCACCATCTATTCGAGGAAGAACATGTCGTTCTTGAAGATCTTCATCTCGATTGCGTCGTCTTGAAGGTTGTGACAATCGTAATATCTCGTCCGGCAGGTCAGCAAATGAAGGCTCTTGAGTTGAATCCGCTAGTTGTTGGTTCTCCATCTCCTGAGCGCCACTACTACAACGAAGCTACGAACAAGAATTGAAAGTAAAATATTATCTTGCCTAGATGTTGTTTCTTTTATAAAGAAAGTTTTCATCTTGATTTTGATGGATGTCGTCGATGAAAAGCCTCCACCGCCTTTGCTGCATTCGCAAGATTCTTTATTGGCTCCCATGTGCGTTCACTAATACCATATCCGTGCCAATGGACAAGATATTTTAATTTATTTTGGCGTCGCCTTGAATCTAAGACTTCTTCTACTTCAAACTCTTCATTATTGTCCACTTCTATAGGAGGAGGTGGAGCTTGTCGTCTTCTTGGTATGTCCACTGTCTTGTATGCTTCAAGAAGAGACATGTGGAATACTGGATGGATTTTCATTGACTCCGGTAGATGTAAACGATATGCAACTGAATTGCTTTGTGCAGAAATAGAAAATGGTCCCAGCCTTCGATAGTCCAACTTGTCACAAGGACGAGTGGTCTTGATATTGCGATGAAGTAGCCATACCTTATCACCTAAGATGAATGATAGTTGTTCCTTTTGATAGACATCCGCATTGGCCTTTTGTTGTTGTTGAGCCTCTTTTAATTGCGCCTTCATCGTTGCATATAGCTCTGATAAATGAATTGCCAAATCTTTTGCAGCAGGATTATCAACTTTTGAAAAGTCAAAAGTATCAAGTCGTGGATGATAACCATAATTAGCAAAGAAAGGTGTTTGTTTTGTAGAAGAGTGTACCGTGTTATTGTAAGCAAACTCTGCCAATGGCAAAAGAGTTGTCCAATCATCTTGTTGGTAATTAATGGTGCATCTTAAATATTGCTCCAAAACTTGATTAACATGCTCCGTTTGTCCATCAGTTTGAGGATGGAATGCCGAAGATAGTTTTATATCCACTTTAAGAATCTTGAAAAGAGTTCGCCAAAATCTTGATACAAATTGAGTTCCCCTATTTGATATAATATCCTTGGGTAATCCATGATAGCGATAGATATTGTCAAGAAAGAGCTTAGCTATTTCTTCACCTGTGATAGATTTTGTATATGGTACAAAATGTGCCATCTTGGTAAAACGATCTACTATCACGAATATACAGTCATAAGAACCTGAGATTGGAAGATCCATGATGAAGTCCATAGAAACAGAAGACCATGGTTGTTCTGGAATGGGTAATGACTGGAGAAGTCCAAAAGGTCGATGACGAGGGGATTTCGATCTTGAGCAAACTTCAGATGATTGTACAAAATCTTTAACTGCCTTCCACATTTGAGGCCACGAGAAATCCCTAGATATCAGCTCCAAAGTCTTATTATATCCGAAATGTCCTGCTGTTGGGAAGTCGTGACGAGCTTAAAGAACACGTAAACGTGCTCTTCCTTCTGGAACATATAGGCGTCCTTCGAAATAGAGTAGGTTGTTCTTGAATTCAAATTTAGATGGATCATGAGATTTTGAAGAATTGTTCTTGATATCATGAACAAGAGGGTCTGAAGACATACTTAACTAGACTTGCTTAAGGAAAGTTAAATCAACAATCAATGTTGATTTTATTGCTCGAAGATGAAATTGTTCCGGCTTCAAGAGAACCGTTCTTTGTTGCTCAAAAGCTGCATCTCCTTCTTTTGATGCAAGATAAGAACGTCTAGACAAGGCATCGGATAAACCTTATTGTTTTCTTGGCCAATAAGTGATGATGAACTCGAATCTTGATAAAGACATGCTCCAACGAGCTTGGCGACGATTTAATACGCGTGTTGACATAAAATATTCGAGGTTCTTGTGATCCGTATACACGATGACTGGACTAAAAGCGCCTTCTAGATAATGATGCCATTCTTGAAAAGAATCCACAATTGCAAGAAGTTCTTTGTCGTGGATCTCATAATTGATTTCTGCTGCTGAGAATTTTCTTGAATGAAAGGCTACTGGATGAAGTTTGTCATCTGTTTCCATTTGTGAGAAAACTGCATCCAAAGCAAAGTCCGATGCATCTGTTTCCATAAAGAATGCTTTGGAAAAATCAACACGATACAAGATTGGTGCAGAAACAAACGCTGTCTTCAAAGATTCAAAAGCAACTTCAGCTTCTTGATTCCATTGGAGTTTGACTTTACAAGTCAAACGTGTAAGTAGAGCTCCAACTCGAGAAAAGTCTTTGATGAAGATCCGATAGTAGTTGGCAAATCCCAAAAAACATTGGACATCTCTTATCATTTTTGGGATCTTCCAGTCTATAATAGTTTGAACTTTCTTAGGATCCATCATAAGTCCGTCATTTGAAATGATGTAACCTAAGAAATCGACTTGAGTAGTATGGAATGCACACTTTTCTATCTTGGCATAGAGTCCTCCATCTCTTAATTTTTGTAACACACGACAAACATGAAGTTCATGTTCTTTTGGATTCTTAGAATAGATCAAGATGTCGTTTAGATAACATACCACAAAATCGTCCAAAAATTCTCGAAAAACATCATTCATTAGATGTTGAAAAGTTGCTGGTGCATTTGTAAGTCCAAAAGGCATGACGTTATATTCAAAATGTCCATATCTAGTTCGAAACGCAGTCTTCCATTCATCTCCTTCTTTGATGCGTACTAGATTGTATGCTCCTCGAAGATCTATTTTTATATAGATCTTAGCTTGATTCAGCTTATCAAGAAGTCCAGATATTAAAGGTAGTGGATACTTATTTTTGATAGTAATCTTGTTGAGTCCTCGATAATCAACACACATCCGCAATGATCCATCTTTTTTCTTCACAAATAGAATTGGAGCTCCTGCCGGAGATTTAGAATGGCGTATGAAATTCTTGGCTAGATTTTCTTCAATATACTCCTTGAGTTCAACCAACTCATTTTGTGATAAACTATAGATTGGTCCGAATGGCGGTTGTGCTCCTTCTTGAAGGTCAATTGAGCAATCATAGGGACGATGTTCCGGGAGTGTATCCGCATTTTTTTTTTTCAAATATATCTTGAAATTTTTGATATTGGCTTGGAATGCCACTTGAAGTCTTTTCACCAGTAGAAATGGATGTAGCATAAATAATGTATGGTGATTCTTTCATAGTAGCATGCAAGAAAGCTTTTGCACCTATAAATATGGATTTAATTGAACTGGACTTATGACTCTCTACTTGCTTAACTACACTTTTAGTTATACTTTCAGAGAAAGTGAGAGTTCGGGAAATCCAGTCTATTTGAGGGTTGTATTTTTCTAACCACGATAAACCTAAAATGACTGGATTAGAGGGAGATCTATTGATATTAAATACTACAAAGCTATTATGACCATTGATTATTACTTCTATAGGAAGGGTTTCGTGAATAATATCTCTAGAAGAGAATGGACGACCATCTATGACTTCTACATGAACTGGTTTAGTTTTCTTTACTAAAGATATGCTATGTCTTTTAGTAAATTCTTCATCTAAAAAACACGCTAAGGCTCCTGAATCTAACAAGGCAAAGACTTTGGAATATTTAGGTCCTAAAATAACATTTAATGTAAAACAAGGAGAGGGCTCTTAAGAAAGAATAGGACCTTTATTAGAAGTTGTGCAAGGTTCCAACCGCTTGGTCCCTATTGTAGCTGGACAAATTCGTTTTCTGACATATTATCTTCTTTCACAGCCACACTCCTCATTTTGTGATTGCATCGCTTCTTTAGACAATGCTGAGCAATGTGCTTTGGTTCTCCACAATATAAACATAATCCTTCTTGACGACGACGAGTCTTTTCTTGCTCAGTAAGAGGTTTGAAACGTACTGCATCAATTTACATATCCTCTACTTCCGAATGTATGTGTTGAAGAGATGTTGGTGTTGCCATTGAATTATAATAACGTTGAGGTCCACTTGTACGGTTCTCAGATCAGAATTCAAAAAGGCGATTGTTGCACTTCTTAGCAAAGTCAATTGCTTGACTCAATGTTTGAGGATCAGGTAAGTTGAGCATTAATTTTTTTACCTCATATTGTAATCCGTAGAAAAATTGGCTAATAACTACAGCATCATCCCACTTGATATCAGTTGCAAGTTGTCAAAATTGTGAAGCATATAATGTTACTGATCGATTACCTTATTGTAAAATACGGATCTTATTGGTTGCAACACGAATTGCATCATGTTCTCCATACAATGATCGAAACTCTGCCAAAAAAGCCTCTAGATTATGCAATATTGGATCTCGTCGTTCAAGAAAAGATGAAAACCACGATAGTGGTGAACTTGAAAGAAGCGTACCAATGAATCTAACTTGTGATCCTGGAGTTGGATAGCTTTGGGGTTGAAGTTCAATCACAAGTTGCACTTGATTGATAAATCCTCGAAACTTGGATCTGGTGCCATCAAACTTCTCGGGTAGGGCAATTCTTGGTTCTCTAACATTTGAAGGACGTTCCACCATAGGAGAAAGGACATGGTTTGGTGCAGATGTTGAAGCAGCTCCAACCATTTCTATATCTTCACTTCCTGCCAATCTTGTTGCTCCTTGTGGTGGTAAATTGAGTTGATGTATTGCAAGCATTAACTCCCTCAATTGCTCTTGCATTTGTGCCATTGCACTCTTCATTTCAAGAAGTTCTGCCATGATAACACTTAGAAGAGAGAAGATGTTTAATATCGCTCAAAACAAATAGAAGAGAGGACTTGCGGACAAAGAAAATACTAAGGACAATATCAGTTTAGAAGAGGGTAATCCGCAACTTCTAATACGCTTATATCTTATCAAGGAAAAGGGGTAATCCACTCTTAATCAAGATTAGACAAAGCTCTGATATTGTAGGTGTACTCTTGTCAATTTTTCAAGGACAAGAACTCGATAAAAAAACAATTCAGACAAGTGAGCCTTCACTCAAAGAGAGGTAACAAAATATATATAAACAAGTATATATATTGAAAGAGGAACTGGAATGGCTATTGCCAAAAGACAAGAAAACTAGAGACCCTTGAAACTAGACTAAAAGCAAGAAAGGAGTTGATAAGAGTGAAGAAGCCTTCACTCTTGTCTCTATATATACTATCTAACTAGGGACTACGTGGCAACGTTCTATAGGACCTCCAATATGTATTGACTTTGTAGGACACATGCCTTGACTTACAAGACAAGTTTTTCTATGTGTAGGCCACATAGTTAGCTTGATCTTCAAGCTAACAACATGTGTGGCACATGGCCAATTTGTTGACCACTTTTCTAATCCAAAAATTCAATTAAAGACACCTATGAAGTCAAAGCAGCGTCTACAAAGCTTCTAAGAAGCTTCCATATTAAATATTATAGAATTAACTTACTTTTACCTACTTTTACTTACTTCTACCTATTTCTATATGTAATTATTAGCTTACATGATTATGGCCGTGACACAAAGTCAACAAGTCAATGTTTTGGCTTTTTTTTTATTCATTATCATTATCGTTTTTTAGAAGTTTTTTGTTGCTATGAGATCCCAAATTATTGTTAAATACTATATAGGAAAGACCAAGAAAGAATGTAGATAATAGAAGGTAAGAAAGAAAGTAATAAAAATAAAAATAAAAATTCAAGAAGGATTGTTTATGTTAGATAAGGATTTAGTGCAAATATATATATATATATATATATATATATATTGTTTTAATAGTCCTAGATTAAGGTATGTGTAAATTAGTACTACAAACGTGTTACATGTGTAGGTTGTTACCAAGTGATTGTTGCTATACATCTAAAATGCCATAAAAAAGTATCACTATTTAATGTAAAACTCATAATGAAAAATTTGCTAATTTTACAACTAATTTTGCAGTCCTAGAATTAGAATACGGAATCACCGCTTTTTTTTTTGTTTAATTTTCTCTGTGATTGTTATTTTTAAATATGATATTATTATGGTAGTTGAATTCCTGGAAATGTGCACCAGCATGATGTGAAGGTGCACACCGTGATGAACCCTAAAGATGGCAATATCTCTGAGGCGCATGTCTGAATTCCTGCTACTTTGCTATTTGCAAAAGTTCTCCGGTAAATTATGACTACATTACAACGCATCCTATCAGTCAAATACCCTTAAGATCATGTTCACAAAAATTACAATGAACATACTTCTTTACACGTTTGAAGTACTCATCTGCGTCATAGCTCTAAGCTATTTAGATGCCATCAAATGATACAAAAATATGACTAAAACCTTATAGCTTGCACTCTACAAGTTTCCACTTTGGTCTCGACACTGTTGTCTAGAAACGCTATGTACAGAAAACTTGTGCGAGTATCAACAGAACATGGTCAATGTAGTAAGCAAGCTGAAGGAGGATGAGCTACCAAGTTCTTCAGTAACGAAAACCTCCGGGAATGTTTAAAATTGGTGAAGTCTCAGTTACAGTTGAAATTAACAAAATGCGAACCCAAGACTCAATCAGCTCACATGGCAGCTAAATTGTTTTTCATTAACCTCCATCAAGCTCCTGCTGAAAACCTGAATGAAACAATAAGTGCAGGTCATCCATCACATTGGTACCCACACCTGGGAGTACCCTTGCATTGTCAAAGGTTTTCTGAACTATGATGTCTTCAATTGATCAACTAGCTTTGGCCTGGACATGGGGATATAAAATACATAAAATTCGACCTTCATTCGCCTGCAGGAAACAGAAAACAATCCACAAGTATCTTTCCTTGAAACTAGGAAGCTGTGAAAACAAGAAAATAAAACCATAAAAAAATAGAAAACAGAAACTCAAAACTATTACGATATTCTTTAACGCCCCAAATTCTAAAGCATGTTTCGATACGATTGCAAGACATTAGGAGGAAAACCAGTTTACCGTGAATCAGTCCCTCGGCATGATGCTACAGTGTTGAACTCTCCCATGCAGTGCAAATGTCGGTTGTGTGAACATTTGACATGCACAACTCTTGAAAGGCGTCCAATTCAACGACCAATTGATTCTACGAGAATTGTTTCATTCTGTACGACTCCAAATGCTCATGTCTCCAAAAATAAATTCAGTACAGGAGTTGACAATCAATTGGTTGGGTTGTAGCGTTGCAACACATCAGCTGGCATCTGCCCCTGGCAAACCCTTGCAAAGTCTCCTACAAGCTCTCGAAACATTCGTCTGTGATGCACTGGTTGACGAACAGCTGCTGCAACAAAGGTACTCTTCACAGACTCAGTTAAAGTGCCCGTCTTAAAAGGGAAGTTGGGGCTATTGACGGCAGCTTTCAAGGCTGCTTCACAATATCGAGCATGACGCAGGCAAAGCCCGTAAAAAATATCTGAAAGCGCATCTCGAGTACTAGGTACAATATCACTCCCTGCTGCAGTCTTCAGTGCAATTTCCACTATTGGATTCAGATGAGGGCCAAGAATTTCATCCCAACAAGCGGACAAGTCCGCCTGAATTCGCCATTCGATCCTGTCAATGTTATCCTCATCAGAGTATCCGAAACCCATTGCAATCTCCGCTAGAAACTTCACAGCTGATAAGGATGGGCCCATGTACCTTCTCCGAAGGCATTCAATACCACAACTGACCAAATTTGAAAAGGCAGTAACATGCGTTAGCGTATAGCGATGATGCCGCAGAAAAGCTCGACCTAGACGGCAGAGGGCCTGCAGCCCAGCAGCAACACTTTGTTGCTTTCTGTGTAAGTTGACCTGATCATGACCATTCCGTTCTGCAAAGATGACCAGACAGCTTGTAGACTTGGATCCCACAGAGAGTTCGGCGCTGATCTGGGCTAAATGAACGCCAACATCTGACAATTCTAGGATAATATATCCCGCATATTCCCTCACTTGTTCGAAGATGCCCGCGTCCTGAGATGCTAAAGCCAAGATATCCACAAGACAATCCACGCATGCTGGAGCATAATGGCGCTTGAATAAAGTTGTGGCTGCGATTATGACTTCAACAATCACGCCAGATAGAACTCCTCCAACTTTCCGCGCACTAATAGACCAAAGTTCACAGACAGCTGATGAGACATCGCCGTCCTCAACCCAAACAGTGGAAATCACGTTGATGGCGGGCCAGACTTCTTCTATGATCACAACACCTGGGTGGGCAGTACTGCTGTGGTTATACACTGATGCATCTCCACAATCTATGGCAACCACCAGAACTCTCAAAGCTTCCGCAAGTCTGGGTCCGTTCTCGTCCAAAACATCTCGTGCTCCGGCAAGGGCTTTTATAGCACAGACAGCTGAGGTCGTCAGTGAGATTAATGCAGATTTGGCTTCTTCCAGGGGCAATGCAACAGCTACTTGTGCGAGTCCTTTGATCAAAGCAAGACGATCAGAACTCTCTGACACTCTTCGGAAGGATGTTTTTACTGCTTTTTCACATGCATCCATCAGTGCTGGGAGCATGCCAGTAGCCGCTATGGAGGGAGCAGCGGCACGACATAATTCTCTCAGTGCACTAGCAGCCTTCGATCTAGCATCTGGAATGTATAATGCTCCCACACTGTAACTCAGACTAGTTTGCAACGCATTTGGATCCAAAGCCGCCCAATCAGCATAACTTTCTAAGAACGTCGCTGTCGTCTCTACCAATTTAGGATGAGGCAAGGATGCCGAATCCAGCTGTATAACAGCGGAGCTGCCTGGCAATGATGTGATAATGGTCAAAAAGAACGATTTACCAGCATCACAACCGAGATGGTTATCTGCTACAGGATTCAGGATCTCGTTACTGAGAGAAATTGCTGCATAAAGACAGACTTCAGCATCTTGCCAACGATTCGCGCCACGAAATCGGTCAATGATGTATACAAGCAGTGCACTGCCGAGTTCATTGAAGCAAGCTACCAATGTGTCTTTAGCCAGACCTTCTCGAAATCTATAGAATTCATCTTCCTCCACCTCAGATTCCTCCCAGGTGCTGAATTCCGAAGGATACGTGGTGGACTGAAGTATGGCCTGGGCGCATGCAGCAAATAAAGGACTCTGCAGTAGATCACTTCTTTTGGATTTTGGTACGCCGATAATTCGGGGCCATGGTTCTGCAGCAATCGACGAACCATCGAGGCCGAGATTTCCTAACCCAAGGATGAGCCATTCAAAGATATCTGAAGCATCCTGCCCGCCTTTGGCAAGAAGGTAAGGCTCAGAGCAACAGATTACGCTTACCAGGGATAACAATGCCTGAGCCCGTTTGATGGTTGAGTCACTAGGACTTGATATGGCAGCGACAAACTGCCCTTTCTGTGCCAAAACTGCGGATATCACAGCGCGCACTGCATCTTCCCTACCAGGCAGAGGATCAACAGCAGAAATCAACTCTGACAAACTGCCCACAGCCCCTTCAAAGCATGCATCATCTGAAGACCCTAAAGCCTCCAGAACCACTTTCAACAATGATGCGTTGTTCAAATAAAACTCTGACAATACAACCCCTGCGCGTATCCAACGCTCAAAACAGACTATAACCCTAGCAACAAAATCCTGATGTATACCAGGTGCTTCCACCAACGCCTGCAAATAAGAGATGACCTGTGGACTGCAGTACTGCATGCACTCTCCAACCTGCCAAGGAAGAGCAGTGGTTCTGTGCAAAGTCTCTTCGGCAAGGCTGATGAGCAATTCTACTGCCAGAGGACCATCCACAGACCCGCCCACTATATATTCCACCAATTCATAACAAGTGTCTGCACCTGCCAGTGCGGCAGCACCACTCACTACCAGACACAGCCTTGCTCCAACCGTCCTGTTCCCCAGATTCAAAGGCAGCTGACGCATCAATGCCTCGTAGATTTCGTACGCTTCATCTGCTGGCACTTGAGATCGGTCCCCCCTTATTTTCGAAAGCAAGAGATTCAAGGCAAAGAAACGAACGTCCTCGGATCCACCAGCAGCCGATCCTGGAGGTGGAAATGCCAGATAAAGGGACACGGTCCATGCTCGAGGTAGAACCACAAAGCCATTTATCCAATCATTTGCTTTTGAGTCATGTGTTTGCAGCAAAGAAGTGATCGCTCGATCTAGCTCACAGGCTTCAACTTCCAAAGCCCTGGTATCCAGTTCGTCTCGAGCTGCATCCTCGTCCATTGAATTGCGTCAAATGTTCAATGCCCTTCTAAAACAAAACCGTAGCTGTAAGTGTTCATAGAATGAAATCAAACTAATCCATACGATGCCCATCACAGAACACGTTCCACACTCAGGCCACACAAAAGAGCTCTGCATGGATGGGCTTCACAGCCATGGTTTCGGGGGATCATAATGCATGGTGGCTGCTAAATCAACCCACAGAAGGAATTATCGTCCTTGCGAGCGATCAGTAGCAGGAACATGGAATTGAAAAACTAGAATCCCACAAATTCGCTGAAGTTGATCGACACATCTACTTCAAACAATTCAAAAGATAAATGCCGCGCCTGATATTTCAGAAGTGACAGTCAGATTTACACCATGTTCCTCTGCAGAATTGATAAGAAGCTTCAAGCCAGGATAATATACAATATGTAATACTCAAATAGACAACACACTCGACACAACTGGGTCAGAGATCTGAATATCCATAATTCCGTCGTGTGCAGTTTGAAACGCTAGCACGTAGTTAAATGCAAGAAAAACCACACACTACAAGAAAAAGGACATTTACGAGATTATACAGACGGAATCGAAAGAAAAAGAAATAGGAAGCTCAATGAATCCCTAGGAGACACATCAAAGCAAAAGATGAGAATTAGACTCAATGCTATGAATCTTCCATTTTTGGACCCAAATTATCGGCTAACTACTGAGGTACAGCGATGAAAATTTGCAAAACCAAGACTGAACATGCGAGGCTGGGCAGAGAGGCAAGGACATGCAATGCATCCGCGCTTACATTGAACTCGGATCAGGTCCAACTCTTGCGCCAAGCATGTCCACCAATACGACTTCGGCACTACACCGAACTCAAACATTTCCAATCCGAACCCCCCTTCAAAATATCGACTGTCGGCATCGCTTGACTCCTAAGTCCATAAGCCCTAAACCCTGGGACCCACACAGAGTAAGGCTCGCCCTGGAAACTTGATCTGACGGGGTTCCAGAGGCTTCATGGCGGAAATTCGAAGAGCTTCACCTGCCCAAACAACTGACGCAAATACAAAAGGGTGCTCGAAACTGCGATTGCGAAGTCGAATGGCAAAATTAGGGCTTGTAGAGATGGTGAGGAAATGGAGGTTACCCAAGTGGGTCTCAGTGCTACGAAGCTTCGAAAGGAGATTAAGAAATTAAGCAGGCGCTAATCGTGATTAAGAGCTTCAGTAAACGGAGCCCACGGCAGTGGAAAGGCAGCTTGCAGTGACACTTTTCCATGAATAAGAAAAATGGGTATATATTTATATTATTTGTGGATTCAGTTAATACATTTTTTTATTAATGCTTTTCAGAATTTGGAATTAAATTTTAACGTAAAGGTCTTTAAATAATTTTTTTAAAAAAATCCTCATAAATTGGAATATATGAATGTGCCTACTAAAAAGGTTGAGCAACTCAAATTGGCATTGTCTCTTGTTTTGAAATAAGTACAAGGTTGTAAACACAAAAATAAATAAATATATGCATACCGAAGAATGATATGGGCACAATGCATAAACATATAATTTGTTTGATTGATTTATGCAAATGAAAACAATTGTCATTTCATGTTTTAACATTTTGAAATTTCAAGCAAATGGCATTCAGCCTGATTAATTTAAATTTTGACAAGATAAGTATCTTTCAGAAGGATTTTTAATTTTTTATTGTTATTTTATTTTTGATACATATGTATGACTAAGGAGGTATAGCCTATTTGTATATGGTTCATTTTGCAATAGGGCAATGTTTCCAAATGGTTCATTGAAACAAAGATTTTTTTGTGAATGTATGTTCCTCTTTAGTAAATATTTACATGTAAAATCCAGAAAAAAATTTAGCAATATTAAATTGGTAAAAATATTTGCAAAGCATGATTGTAGATTGAATAATAAACATCCAAATCATGTTGAAGTTCTCTTTGTAAAATCTTTTGTTTGACAAGGGATTTGAATTTCTTATCTTATATTTTGTACACCATCAATTAATAAATATCAAATTAGTTAATTATATCAATTTGTACAATTTGTTTTAAAATTTCATGCAATTATATCAACAATGATACATATTACTCAATTCAAACAATCTGCAAGGATCAAAGTTAGTAACTTTATTGTTACAAATAATAGTATGCACAAATAGATGCATAGATAAATAGAGGGAATTAACAAAGCCACACCTTCAAACCATGTGATGATTAATTTAGTCCTATGTCATTCTACTCCATGACTATAGCTTGATGTAGATGAGGTGGATCATCATCTTCCATGAATGCAAAGGGCAATCTATTCTTAGTGCATAAGCATTTCCTCTATTCAAAATACTACTCAAAAATGTAAAGAATAGCCTCATATAGACTATCCAAGACTCTCCTTTATTGGCAATGATGCTTGGAAGGGTAGATTGGAGATGTCTTCTAAAAAGGCCCTTGTAAGTATATCTAGAAAGAAGACATGCAAGCTTCAAAATTGATGGCATCAAATAATGATTGTTGGAATAGAAAAATAACTTATTTTTTTTGGTACAAAGAAGGATTAAAACATGAATTGTGATTTTGTAGTAAAACTTTGTGCATTTGAGAGGAGTTCTTGAGTTGGATTTTGGTGGCATGTAGAAAACAAAATGTATAGTTTTACAGCAATTGGAGTGCATTTATTGATTTGTCTAAATAAACTTTGAGATGTATGGATTAGTTTGTTATTTTTATTGATATGAAGTCAATATTGTAGAAGGATTGCTTTGTTGTTTGGCAATTGGTACCAAATATGGCTTTAAGATTTTTAATTCTAACACTTATCAATATTGATATAAGCAATATAAGTATCTATCATGTTGTTGCAATAGACTCTATGGAAATTTATATATCAATTTTATTAATTTATAATACCTTTTCATCTAATTTATTGGAACATGGTGTCAACGACATGAACTAAAAGATGATGCATAAATCAATGAAATCTGTATCAAAGAAAGAGTGACAAAATATAAATAAGAAAGTACGTATATTAAAAGAAAACTAGAATGGCTTATTACCAAAAGATAAGAAAACTTGAGATTCTTGAAACTAGACTAGAAGCAAGAAAGGAGCTGACAAGTGTGAAGAGGGCTTCACTCTTGTCTCTATATATACTATCTAACTAGGAGCAACATGGCGATGTTCTATAGGACTTCCAATATGTTTTGACTTTGTAAGATACATGCCTTGATTTACAAGGCAAGTTTTTCTACATGTGGGCTACATAGTTAGCTTGGTCTTCAAGCTAATAATATGTGACCAACTTATTGACCACGTTTCTAATCCAAAAAGTCAATTAAAGACACCTATAAAGTCAAAGGAGAATCTATGAAGCTTTTATGAAGCTTCCATAGAAGATATTATAGAATTACCTTGCTTTTACTTACTTCTACTTATTTCTACCTATTTATACATGTAATTAATGGCTTATATGCATATGTCCATGACATTACCACCCCCTATTAGGGATAAGTTCTACGAGGAGTGGTCACCATATGTTGAGGAAATCTATGATGTGACGAATTATATTCACTACATACTTAGATCTTTATTTTCTTCGAAGATGGTTGATAGGGCCTCTTAACCATCGATAGTGTCTAATACTAGGATAGGAAGATCACCATGTTATCTGATTGTTGTTGACACCTTCATAACTTCTTTCAAATAAAATATTTAGAATACTGTTAGGAGTTGTTTCTACCTCTAATAAAATTACCAAACATCGAGAGTCTCTTCCAAGGTCGTGATATCAAATGTGTTATATCTTGCCATCTATTTGAGAAAAAACATGTTGTTTTTAAGGATCTTCATTTCAATTGCATCATCTTGAAGGTTGTGACAATCGTAATGTCTCATCTAGCAGCTCAACAAATAAAGGTTTTTCAGCCAAATCCATTGGTTGTTGGTTCTCCATCTCTTTAGTGTCAGAATTACAAAGAAGCTACAAAGAAGGATTAAAAGTAGAATGTTATCTTGCCTGGATCTTGTTTCTTTAATAAGAAAGTTTTTTATCTTGATTTTCATTGATGTCATTGATGAAAAGCCTCAGCTACCTTTGTTGCATTTGCAAGATTCTTTACTGGCTCCCATGTGCATTCTTTAATATTATATCTCCACCAATGGATAAGATATTCTAATTTATTTTGATGCTGTCTAGATTCTAGGACTTCTTCTACTTCGAACTCTTCATTATTGTCCACTTCTATAGGAGGATGTAGAACTTGTCTTCTTTTTGATATGTCCACTTTCTTGTATGGTTCAAGAAGAGACACATGGAATATTAAATGGATTTTTATTGACTCTAATAGGTATAAATGATATTCAACTGGATTGTTTTGTACAGAAATAGAAAATGGTCCAAATCTACAATAGTCCAACTTATCACAAGAATGAATGGTCTTGATATTGCAACAAAGTAATCATACCTTGTTACTTGTGTGGAATGGTGGTTGTTCTTTTTGATAGACATTTGCATTGAATTTTGTTGTTCTTGAGCTTCTTTTAACTGTGCCTTCATTGTTGCATGTAGCTCTGATAAATGATTTATCAAATCTTCTGCCATAAGATTATCAACTTTTGAAAAGTCAAAAGTATCAAGTTGTGAATGATAATCATAATTGACAAAGAAAGGTGTTTGTTTTGTAGAAGAATGTACCATGTTATTATAAGCAAACTCTTCCAATAGTAATAGAGTTATCCAATCATCTTGTTGGTAGTTGATGATATATCTTAAATATTGCTCCAAAACTTGATTAACATGCTCTATTTGTCCATCAATTTGAGAATGGAATGTTGAAGATAGTTTTATATCTGCTTTTAGAAACTTGAAAAGAGTCTGCCAAAATCTTGATACAAATTGAGTTCTCCTATCTGATATAATATCTTTGGGTGATTCATAATAGCAATAGATATTGTCAAGAAAGAGCTTAGTTATTTCTTCACTTGTAATAGATTTTGTATATGGTAAAGAATATGCCATCTTAGTAAAATGATCTACTATCATGAATATAGAATCATAAGAATATGAGATTAAAAGATCTATGATGAAATCTATAGAAACAAAAGACCATGGTTGTTTTAGAATAGGTCATAGTTGAAGAAGTCTATAAGGTTGATGATGAGGAGTTTTTGATCTTGAAAAAATGTCGAATGGTTGAGCAAAGTCTTTCACACCCTTTCACATTTGTGGCCACTAAAAATCTCTAGATATAAGTTCTAAAGTCTTGTTGTATCCAAAATATCATGTTGCTGGAAAGTTGTGACGTGCTTGAAGAACACGTAATCATGCTTCTCCTTCTAGAACATATAATCGACCTTCAAAAATAGAGTAGATTATTTTTGAATTCAAACTTAGAAGTATCTTGAGACTTAGAAGAAGGATTCTTGATATTGTGAATAAGAAGATCAGAAGACATACTTGATTGGATTTTTTTCACAAGGGTCAAATCAACAATCAACTTTGATTTCATTACTCAAAGATGAAAATGCTCCGGCTTCAAGAAAATTGTTCTTTGCTAATTAAAAGATACATCTCTTTCTTTTGGTACAAAATAAGAATATTTAGAAAAGACGTCTAATAAACCTTGTTGTTTTTCAGATCTATATGTGATCTTGAAATCAAATCTTAATAAGAACATGCTCCAATGGGCTTGGCGATGATTTAAAACATGTACTGACATGAAGTACTTGAGATTCTTGTGATCCGTTGTCGGGGTAGAGAGAGTTTACCTCAAAAAAACATTGGACTCATGGCTGCTACTAATTGCTCAATTAAGTCTTGAAATAAATACTTTTAGGTGCTATTACATCAAATATATAAGTCTTAAGTTTCCAAAAACATCCAAAATATGATAAAACTTCTAAATCCTTTAATATCCTTATGGGGTATTATTCTCGAACTTCAAAAACTCATATCTTCCAATTAATCTATTCAAACATATTCAAATTTTATAAGAAGCATTGATGTACTTCTAACAACTATCACAACAAATTTCAACTACAAATTCATTGCAGATCTTAAGATATCACCAAAATCCTAATAGTAGCTTCAAACCTTAGGTTTTA